CGACTTGGAACTCTCGGGTCGGGTCGTATTAACGTGTCCCGCGAAATAAATAAAATAAACATGTCTTGAAAACGAACGAAATTGCTGTGTGGTGGCTGAAGTAGTTTCGATCTTACATTAACACCACTGCTTAGGCCTCTCACATAACCGTCAGTGAGTTCGATTCTCACTGAGGGCTCATATTTTGAGTATAGTTGTCTCACACTTGTCCATGGGATATACGTATTCCAATATCCCCGAAGATGATTGAAACCATAAAAAAGAACAAATATGTCTATTGATATGTTTCACACACATGGCAAAAACAAAACACTGAAAATATAAAATACATTTTTATAGTAAAATGACCAACAATATGTTTTTATAGTAAAGTGACCAACAATACATTTTATATGTAGTTGAATGCATGTAGTTGCGTTCTAAATATTTAGATTACGGGATTAAATAGTCTATAGAGGTTGATATGTCGCTAAACAAAAATCCAGGTAGTTCAATTTCTGTATCTGCTGGATTTGACTTTCCCAATACGCATCTCATATGTTTAGATGTCTCTCTTGCTTTCAGAAGCTTTTAACAAATGCTAATGACCCTTTGGAAGGCCATATTGAAAGAATATGAGAAAACCTCTGAGCATAGTGATTCCCAAGCTCTGATCTCTTGTGGCCAGACAAAATTATGGCTTGCGAAATGTAAAATCACGATGTTTTGGATAACATCAGAAGCAATAAAACAAAAGCACAACTTCGAGAAGGCCAATATCGAAAGGCGGACTTTGTAGGCTGATTAATAAATTGTTTGTCTCTCGGCTTTATTTTTAGCATATCCGTGCTTCTGTATGTCGTCTTTTTTTTTTTTTTTTTACCTCTTCTCCGTTTCGGCCAACCTTAGTTTATTGAATCATGTCAGAATTGATAATGGCAGTTAAAGTGAGCATGTAATTGTTCGTGAATATGAGGTAATTATGGGAGAGTGGTTGACTCACTCACCGATTATCTTGATTGGTCCTTGTCAAAGTTGATTATGGGAACAACAGCTCTTTGATACTCTTATCTGGACAGGTAGTCATGAGAGAGTGGTTTAACAAAGTTATAACTCACCCCCACTATCTTGATTGATCCCATTCAAGGTTGGCGATGGGGATAACAGCTCTTTGATACTATTGCACAGACAGATAAAGTGGTTATGAGAGAGTGGTTTACCAAACTGCTCAGTCCACTCTTGGTTAGTCCCTGTCATGATTGACAACGGGGATAACAGCTACCACTTCCTGAACAATTAAGGCATTTATTGTAGTGTTGTTTGCTCAAGTATTCACTCGCACTTTTAATTCAACCATGTAAAGCTTCAGTATAGGGATACCGTATATTTCTACATAAAAACGACTCGTAGATAAGACGAGACTCAAAATCTGGGTAAATTTTCGTGATTTTTATCTGATATCCGTAGTATAAGACGACAGAAAACGTAGGCTAGCCTACGCCGCCAATAGTCGTTACGCCGATCGTAATGGTTCATACGAATATAAAATAAAGCTGATGCTATTACAAATGTTGTTTTGCTTGCCTTTATCGTTATCAAATCAAAAGAATAAAATAATATAAAGTATTAACATAAATCTTTATGAAAATAACTATTTCATTCTTACGACTCAGACGAATGAAGACGAAAGTTTTGTATTCTGTAATGGGGAAATAAAAGATTTTATGGCATCTTAAATGTTTTGTTGCTTAACAGAGCAAAAAAAATACCGTATAATGTATGTTATTCAACACCACGACGATAATGCATCTTAATTAGAAATATAGATTGTATGCATTCTAAATGTTATTTAACACTACCATAAGAAATAATGATTGGCGTGAACGCTGACATAACTCTACAATTCAAGAACAAAAGATTTGACTACGTTGTTTGCTTGTGCGTGTTGCTCAGCGAAACTTTAGCAAATTGTTGCTTCGTCGTCTCTTGAATATTGCATTTTAATGTGAAATCAAAAAGTAGTCCAGCATTATAATGTGAATTGGTTTCAACTAGGAATATTTACATCGATAGTTACCATACCTAGGCCGTTTGTTAGCCTACCACGATCGATGGCGCAAGCACACTAGCCTACATATCAGTGCCGATGCACCACAGTATTTAATGTTCGCTTTTTGTAACTGTTGTATTAGACGACCGCCTATTTTGGGGGGATATTTTTTAAGATTTAAAAGTCGCCTTATACGCGAAAATATGCATTAATAACTTTTTGCTACTTCTGCCTGTACACGTAATTTAGTTATGGGAGAGTGGTTTCTCCTTTGTGATCACTCGTCTATTCTTCAGTCCTGTGCATGACGATAAACTACATCCGGCAGCAAGGCCTCTGATTGGAGGTTTTAAGGACCGTGGAATCACTTCCTAATTGTTGTTTCCAGGTTCACCCTCATGCACGACGGTAGCACCTATTAGGGTCTCAGTTACGGGTAAATAGTGAACCCGACAAATAAAAACAAAGCACTATGAAAGTATAAAAATACAAATATTACCAACAATACCTATTTTTTAGTAAAATTGACAATACATTTTTAAAGCAAAATGACTAAAAATGTGTCCATTTTTTTTTTTTTTTTTTATTTATTTAAAAAAAAAAGAAAAAAAAGAGCGTGGCATGATGAAAAGGCCCTAAACTTGAATAACGCAAAATTTTATCTTCAAAATGAATATTATTATGAAGAGGAAAGACCAAATTATTTTTTATTATTAAATTTTATAGAACGTTGGAAATTTTGGTTAAAAATCTAGTTTTTTTTGCGTCTGCGGTGAACCAAAGATTATTATTGGAAATTCAGCGTCTTTTTTGCGGTAAAAACACATAGTTTTGGAAATTCTCGCAAAAATTAAATACTTTTCGGATTTTAATGAAATTTTCAGGACTTACTCACAAATAAATAAAATTATTTTTGAAATTTTTATTCTTAGAAAATCTTAGTAAAAATATGTTTTTTTTTTACATCTGTTAAAAAAAAAAATTCATGAAATTTCGAGAAATTAAAATTTCAGCCTTTTCATATTTATATTAGTTAAAAGTAGGAAACGTTGGATAATTTAAATCATTTTGTTTTTGTCAAACAGAAACTACATTTACCGAAAATCTACTCTGAATCGTAAAGTAAAAAAAAGTACAATAAAACTATGACGTTATTTAATTAGAAAAGCATAAGATTTAATAAGGACACTATTGTCTTAACATTTTTCGAGGAATAATGAATTTTTAGAAGAATTTTCATTTTTTGAAAATTTTAATTAGAAAAATTCAATAAGTTTTAAATCTTAAAATTTTGTATTAATTTCCGTCTTTTAGATTCTATTAGTATTGAAAACTATATTTACTAATCATAAACGGACGAGCTTTTAAGTGATTTTTAATTTTTTTTTTTATTAGTGCATAAACGTGCCGATTTTGTAAGTACAGTCTATCATACACGACATTATCAGAACCAAATTAAATTTAAAGCCGAAATTTCTAAAATTCCATAAAACATTAGATTACAGAGAATATTATTCGTAAATTTGTAAGATTACCGACTACTTAAAAATGATATAAAAAGGCGTTCAAGTCATTTTCTTAAATTATGTTTTACAGTCTCGAGAGAACAACATTAGTTTTGTCATCACGTTGTCAATACTTCAAAATCAATTACTATCGGATTAAAAAGAGTTACTGTCGAATTAAAAAATGCTTTCCGCTATATTTTAAACTCAAACTAAATATTTGTTTCAAATCGGATTAATTATACTTCATATCAACTAATATTTCTCAAATAAAGTTTCAGAAAAGTATATTTTATTTTTGCAAGATTTTTAAAACCAAGAACTAACTTGTTTACAAATGTCTCAAAAATGGACGACTTTGACGATATGACTGGGGGAAAACCCACACACACACACACACACACACACACACACACACACACACGCAAAATAAAAATGAAAAAATAACAAAAATGAAAAATCGATTCCAATCAATATAATTTCTGATTGAAATACACGAGAGTATTTTGCCTACTGGAAATAGTAAATTATATTCTTTTAGCTTTCAATGAAAGCGGAAGCTTCAAGAAGGCTTTTCCATTTTTAAAAATTAATTTAAACCTTAGGTATCGCGATTTTTGCGACGGTACCTAATTTTAAAGTATTATACTAGAATATATAGTATTACTAACTAATAGAATTACCAACAATACGTTTTATAGCAAAATGACGAACAATCTTTCGTTGAAGGCATGCAATTGAATTCAAAATATTTTAGTTTAAACCATAAAATTGTGTTCAGAATATTTCGATTTTGGTAACCCATAGAGGTGTTGATATACCGCGAAACAAAATCAACCAAAACAACCGATTCCTGTTAGAATCCGAACTTAGTCTATGACTGTAACAATTACGTAAACTATTTACTTGATTTATGAATTTATGAGAAATACAGGAAGAGGAGGAAGAAAAAAGATTGTCCGTTTGTCAGATAACGACAACCGCTCTCAAAACCCCTGACCACCTTTCACCCATACCCAGCCGACTTTTGTTGTATTCCACTCCATCAAACCACCAACTGTTTTATTTATATTTCTTTATGACCGTTATTGGTGTCCTGTCTATTGTCGACATTTTTAGACCCGTTCAGCAACTCTGACAGGACAGGGCCAGTGACTGTCTTCTTAATGGTTTTTCTTCTGTTATCGTTGTTGTTAGTATCCTTGCGGTTTGGAGGATTTGTTAAGCCATTTGAGAAAATCTTTCTGCCCTGTAACCCATTCTTTTTCCATTGTGGCCTGCCTGCACGTCGTAGCCTTTTTTTTTATGTAGACATCTGTGTCGGAGTTGTGGCTCATTTGGTAAAACTATCACATCTCTCTAAACAGTAAATTTAGATGTTCAATATCCACTCCAACCTACACGCTTATTCCACGTTGATTTTATTTATTTAATCTGTGTGTATTTCCCCCTCTTTGGTAGCTCTTATGGATTTCCACTCCCCGTATTTGACTGCCCGTGTGTATTCCAGCCAGCCCGTATCTGGTTGCACTCGTGGATTCCTTCTGCCATCCACGCCCCTCGCATCTGGTTGTCCGCGTGGACTTCTTTTGCCCCCACACGCATCTGGTTGTCAGCGTGGACTCCTTCCGCGACCCCACCCTTACATATCTGGCTGCCTGCGTGGACTCCATCCGCGACCCCCCCACTTACATATCTGGCTGCCTGCGTGGACTCCATCCGCGACCCCCCACTTACATATCTGGCTGCCTGCGTGTTCTCCTTTCGCGACCCCCCCTTACATATCTGGCTGCCTGCGTGGTCTCCTTCCGCGACCCCCCTTACATATCTGGCTGCCTGCGTGGACTCGTCCCGCGACCCCCCCTTACATATCTGGCTGCCTGCGTGGACTCGTCCCGCGACCCTCCCTTACATATCTGGCTGCCTGGGTGGACTTCTTCCGCGACCCCCCCTTACATATCTGGCTGCCTGGGTGGACTCCTTCCGCGACCCCCCCTTACATATCTGGCTGCCTGCGTGGTCTCCTTCCGCGTGGTCCCCCCGAAATACATATCTGGCTGCCTGCGTGGACTCCTTCCGCGACCCCCCCTACATATCTGGCTGCCTGCGTGGACTCCTTCTGCGCCCATACTTGCTTGAGATTTTTTTTTTTTTCTAATGTCTCATTCATTCATTCCCTAGAGTGGTGAAAAATTCTCAGCCTAGCTGCCTTCTCCAAACAGTATTGTAATTTCTGCTCTTTGAAATACTAATTTTGGAAACTATCACTATAGAATATCATCTCAACGAAATTTATTGATTTTTCTGAGCGCTGAATATTTACTTTATTTTAGTTTATTTTTTTCCCGCTTTTTCTGAATTAGTAACATCTAAATTATTCTAGTTTTTTTCAATGCCTGTATGAGTTACACAAAAGTGGAAATAATGAAAAGTTCTCAGCCTCACATAGAAGCAGTTTAAAAAGAAAAAAACCCTGTTTTCAGAAATTAGGTCAGCCACTGTCAGCATACACTCATGCTTGAGATATATATATATATATATATATATATGCCTATGAAAGAAATGGAGATAAAGAAAAATAATAATGTTAATAAGGTAAATAATATTTATTGTAAATTTGTAGGTTTTTAATCTAAATAGAAGCATGATTTAGAGAAGATGTTAACAATTGGAATTTTTGGTCACACCTGTGACTTTTCTTAATGTGTTAGACATTTGGTGTGAATTGTTCCCCATACATGTCATATTACTGTTGAAATCTTGTGGTTTCTTGTCTCCATGGCCAAGTCAGTAAGGCATACTGGGCTAAACAGTAGCTCCCTCTGCCTTGAGAAATGCAGGTTTCATTTTTGCTGGAGAGTGCAATTTTCCTTTAATGAAATTTCTTTAGCTGTCTAATAAATGAATAAAGCAGCTACACAAATATGAGTATCCACTAAAAATAATGTTCAAAGTGATATATATATATATATATATATATATATATATGGTATGTTTATGAAAAAGAAGTTAAATAAAGATGTGTTGCTAAGCCATGATTGTGGCATAGCCACACGTCTCTTCATCTCAATTTAACTTTTGAAAATCATAGAACTCTCAAGTTGGTAAAGTTACTCAAAATAAATATTCTTAAAGACACCAGTTGCATTTTCAATTTTTTGTTGCTATATATTTTAACCATGTGGGATATGTAAAAAAAAAAAAAATAAATTACTTTGTTTTTTATATATATATATATATATATATAATTTATTCACCCTTATAATTATCCTGTCATAATCCCTCAGTAATTATTTTTTTTTCTTTGCTTTTGCCAGCTCAGCGTTTTTTATATATGAGGATTGTTGAACCCTCCAGCTTGAAGTCCTTCAGCCATAAGACTTACATTGATGCTGTTAGTGGGAGGGGTAATTTGTGAGTTTTGGAGAAGGGGTGGGGCTATCTTAAATCCTTTTGTGAATAGAATCTGATCAGCAACATCTGTATTTTCTTACTCGTCCTCAGTACTGTTGGTGTTTGCAGATGAATTTATTTTGTTTCTGGATAAACGTGTCTGTCTCTTTGTGTGTGTGTATATATATATATATATATATATATATATATAAGAATATTCATATACGTTTTTCTACTATTACACACACACACACACACACACACACACACACACACAAGGTTGTTTAAAGGAGTGGAATATTATAAGCATGTGTTACACGCTAATTTATTTTCATATATATTTTTGAATTACTGACTTATCGTCTTTAAGAATTTTTGTATTATTGTCTATTAGAAGTTTGAATTGAACTGTGGTAATTGAATAAAAGATATAATACAAATATAAAGATTGTCACTTAGCTAATTGGTGTTACCTTCAGTATCCCAGCTCCAGAGATTCATAGATAGGCCCTCCAGCAGTCACTATGTCCACTCTTCAGTGGGTATCAGCAATTGACTGTTTATATTTCTCATTTTTTCTTGTATATTTCTTGTTTTTTCTTTTTTATATATATATGCACTTTTCATTGGTGCAAAGTTGACCCCCCCTCCTTTCAGTGTGTGCATATGGGTGCATTCATGCTAGAATATAATCCTTAGTGCTTTTCTATAAATACTTTTATGGTAATTGTTCTGATGAACTTTCCACTATGGTACTCATTGGTATTGTAATCAGTGTAAATATTCACACAAATTGTTCATATGGGATCTAGTTAAGGTCTATATAGAGACTATGAGGTATTATGGTGACTGTAGTAAGAATGTATTGTTTTGGTGTAAGGAATACTGTGGTATGTTTGGGTCAGTAATTGTGGCTAGCTTAGTTTAAGATAAGACAGATTGAAGTTCAGCTTTTCCCTATCCCCCTCTTAGCCTTGTGCCATATTTTTGTATTTTTTAAAGTAAAAATCACTTTCCTTTATGGTACTTAGACTTTATGAATTTAAGTGCAATAATAGATTAATGGCAAGGTCTCCACATTTTACAGTGGAAATTGCCAAATGTAAATGCAAGTTTTATGCTAACAGTTTTTTTTTTTTTTCACACTTCTCAATGAAACTGGCTAGACTATATATATATATATATATATATATATATATATATATATATATATATATATATATATATTAACCTTTTGAACTCAAGCATATTTTTATTTTTTTTTCTGTCTTGATTTTTTTTTTTTTTTCTTTTTTATGTGTTAATGTTGTACATAGGCTCTTGCTCTGGAGACTTTTGGGGTCTGGCACTGTCAAGCATTTTTTTGTCCTTGCATTATAAACTTTCTTACCTTGTAGTATTATTCCTTTGCTGTTGAGCACTTTTGTAATACATTGAGTCATGTATTCTGGTGTTTTGTTTTTTATCTTAAATAGCAGTGATTTTTAGGGTTAGCGCATTCTTGTCTGTATGAGCATTCACTTCTTGGTGATTGTGGCAAATGTGTATATTATGTGTGTGTATGTATGTATGTATGTATGTATATATATATATATATATATATATATATATTATATCTTGTGGTACTTATTAGAAAGCGCTCAATATCAGAGATAGAGCTAACATATTTGGTTGGATAGATGAGTTTGTGACCATGGGTTTCACACTTTAGCGATCGTCAGACAAACGATCGCTAAAGTGTGAAACCCAGGGTCACAAACTCACATCTATCCAACCAAATATATATATATATATATACACACACACGCCATCTACCCTTATTACAACACCTTAGATTAGCCAACACTGAATGTTCAATGTTGACAAACTGTGTGCAGTGGGGGGGGGGAAACAAATATTTGTACACATAGAAATTTTTAATTTATTGTATTTCCAACTAATGAATAACCATACTTTTCATATAATTAACTGTACACAGATGCATAATAACTAAATATGCATAGAAAACAGGGACAATGATTTAATACAAATAAATCCCATTTATCCATTTTAATGGCTGAAAAAGTATTTGTATAGTACAAAAAAGAATACAAAATAATCATTTAATACTTTGTAGAATAACCATTATTCACTTCTACTGCTACCAACCTCTTCTTGTAGTTCTCAATTAAGGATTTGCAAATTTTAGTTGGTATTTTGTTCCATTCTTCTTCGCATTCTTGATTGGATTTAAATTTGGGGATTGATTTGGCCATTTAGTTAATAGCACAAACACTAAAAACTGATATGTCAATCTTCAAAAAAGTATATCAACGTTTACAGCAGGCAGTGTAAATTTCATAAAGTCTACAGTAACACAAGTGTTAATATCAGCACAAGATATATACACACACACACGTGTGTACTTTTTTTTTAATTACTTATCCACTCTTTATAGTGGATACCCATGTTTGAGTAGATGCTCTGTTTATTTATTAAGCAGTCTATTTAATCTACTGAACTGAATATTAAAGAAAAATGTGTGCTCTTCAGCAGGATTTGAACCTGCATATCTTTTGGCAAGAGTAACTGTCGTTAGATCTTACATTCTTTAGACTCCTCTGCCACGAAGCGTGTCAATGATCAAGCAAAGTTGAATAATAGCTTTAAACACGAATATTTCCTAGACATGAAATGTTTCCTAAAGAAGCACCTGATTTTGATTTATTAATCTGATAGATTTTATCACTTTAAATGTTATTTTTAGTGGAAAAATAAGATATATATGTGTGTGTACTTTTTTTTATTAATAAAATGCTATTTTTAGTGAATACCCATATTTGAGTAGATGCTGTGTTTATTAAGTAGTCCATTTATTTATTTTCATCTACTGACTTAAATATTCAAGATACCTTATTAAAGAAAAGATGCATACTATTTACATTATTCAGATTATTGTCCTCATCTTTGTTACTATATTTATCACAATGTTTCAGCCTTCTTCAGGTGGTTGGAATGTCGAACTGAACCCTTTATTTCGCTTCACTGGAGTAGACTGTTCTAGTTCCATGTGCCATGTCTAATGGATCTGTTATCTCCTGTTAATTCCCCTCTCCAAGTTCTCCACTGCCTCACGGACACATGGCACAGTGGATAAACTTTGAGAGGGGAATTAACAGGAGATAACTGATAACTGACATACATTAAAGATGGCATATGGAACTAGAACAGTCTATCCCAGCAAGCAAAATAAATGGTTCGGTTTGACATTCCAACCACCTGAAGAAGGCTGGTGTGTACAATGGTCGAAATGTGATAAATATGGCAACAAAGATGAGGACAATAGTCTGAATAATGTAAATAGTGTACATAATGCCCCATCTCAGAAATATAGACAGATACTGAAAAGATGCATTCTGGAATCTTGACCAGAGAGTGTATAATATTACAGTATCTGTAAGTGTACAGTATCACAAATATTAATGTCAGGACTAATATATATATATATATATATATATATATATATAGTCTGTCTGAAATAAAATGAGTGGGTGTGCTGTGAGCTATGGGCATTGTCCACAGTGCATTCTTTCCACAGGGCCAGATGATCAATCAACAAATCTGTAGAGAGATCCTGTGGCATTTGATTTCCTCAGTGTATGGGAAGACAAGAATTACGGCAGAGCAATTCATAGCTACTTCACCACGACAATGCACCTACTTACGACCTGAGCATGTGGCAGTTCTCTACTTTATACAGAATGATTATTTTTTTAAAGGACAGATATGGTTATTATTGAACACAAAATGATTCGGAAAAATAATGTCCAAATTTAAGCCAAAAAAAACCCCCCAAAAACAAGGCAGTGTAACCAAGGTAAATCTTAAATAGTCCACAGTTTATTAACAGAGTGACTTCACAAATTAAATTGTGTAGCATTATTTTTGTGTGTGTAAATGGATTTTTTAATCAGGCATTATTTCATATTATTGTAAACCCACTTATTTTTAGTGGGTCCATGTGTTTGAGCTGACATCTCTATTATTTATTTTCTTAAACGGTGAAATTGATATCATAGCAGTCTCCCACAGCCTAATTACTCACTGCATGCTGGGAGTATAGGAGTAGTTTTGCTGATGGAGGAAAAATTGAAAACAGTTTCAATTCCTGTCAGGAGGCATGTTTTTCTTCATTAGGAATTTTTGAACTAGGCCAGTTGATATTAATTTCACTTACTCCATATACTAGATTACTCCTGGGCACTTGGACATGGTGTAATGGTTAGCAAGCTTGTCTTGCTAGATCAATGACTGAGTAGTGAGTTCGATCCTCACTGGGGGCTCTATACTTACGGCCTTGTGCCACATCAAAGCTACACTCAGAAAATCATTTGGGTGTTTCAACATGGGGTAATGGTTAGCAAACTTGTCTCACTAGATCAATTACGAGAGAGTAGTGAGTTTGATCCTCCATACTTTTGGCCTTGTATCATATCTGATACTGCTAGTAAATCACTATACGAGATTACTTAATTTCCCACAATATATTTCATGTGACTGAACTTTGAACAAGGTAGAGCCTTGCCTTACCCTTGAAACTTGACATGTTCAACATCTATATTGCTAACAAGCATTTCACTATAAAGGAGCTGACCAGTCATGTTATAATCACTGTTACTATATTCATAATAAATTTTGTTAAATCAAATGAATATCAAAATCAACCAATCAACACTCAACAAAATTTATTACGAATATAGCAAGAGCATATTAATGTGGGATCCAGTGTGCAGCACAGTGGAAAAGTCCCTGAATACAATACCATGGGTGGATCCAAACTTGTGAGTGAAATTGGGTAGATGGAATTGTTTCTGCTAGCATGAAGTCATAAGTCATCGTGACCAAGGGCTTAAGTGTATTGGCTGTGTTCAAACTCTAATTAATATCTGCTCAACATAGTTTCAGTAAAAACGTGGGCTCTGTGGGTGTTAGACAAGCACAAATGTGCCTGAGTAGATGTCCGCAACAAGGATTAGCTAGACACCCTAACAGAAAGGCATCTCACATTGTATTCGACATATGAGGGTCAAGCAGCTCAGTTCCTAGGAACCGACAGTCCAGACACCAGCACATGATTTGATTATAGTGGTGAAGGTTTTGTGCAGAACGAACCACACTTTTTGAAGGGCTGAATACAGGAACCATGCCACAAGTTCCCCTTATCGACCCTCCACAGATGTTGAATTCGGAGTTGTCCTTCTCCTAGACCAGTTGCCATCTAAGGCTATAAAAGCCAGTCTGTCCTGCTATTTAGCTATAGCTGGAGGGAGAAGAGGATTTACACCTTTCCCAAGAGTATTAGTACGTAAGTGAATGTAATGGATTCAACTGGAATTCGAACTCAGCTCTCTGATTCCTCAATCCGAGCCGCTATCCACTACTCCACAGTGCCTCCTCATATATATATATATATATATATATATATATATATATATATATATAAGGAGGTTTCTCACAATGTTTGAATGATTTGGATCCTCACCAGGTGCACCATATTTGTAGCCTTCAGTCCCAACTAGGCTAAGCCTAGCAAATAATTCTTAATAAGATTTCTCTGGGAACGAGGCAAAGAATAACAAAGAAAATTCAATTAGTGACTATGCCTCCCCACCTCACTCTTAAAAAAAAAAAACCAAAAAAAAAAAACCACCTAATTATTTTGTCTGACTGCTTTTCATAATCCGTAAATTTCTAATGGTATTGACCCTGGGGGCACACACACGCACACAGTTTTTAAAGTTTTGTTGACGTCTTTTGGGCGTTTAATTCTCTTAATTCCCGCCATAGAAGGCCGCCTCGCATAAAAAAAAAAAAATCCTCCGTTTTATATAGTTGAATTACCAGTAGTAGACTAACATCCAAACACACCTGTTTGATATACTGGTCCCCAGATGTCCCCAAATAGAAATATTTCTGATTAATTTGATTTTGAATCAAAATTTAGTAATGCTAAAAAAAAAAATTAAATGTTTATTTTCTCTAAATTTTAAAAAAGCAGAGATGTAAGGAAAAGACTAGAAAATTTATTTTGTCAATTATTCCTTTGTTTCACTTGTATTTTGTTTATTTATTTTTTATGCCCCCCCCCCCATTTGCTTGGTTCTATTTTTTAACCTGTGTCATCTGTTTTTCTCTCTCTCTGTCTGCATCCCCTCCACATTCTCTCTCTCCTTTCCTTCGCCTGCCACCTCACTCTGTATTCTCTCTTTCTCTCTCCTTTAATTCGCCTGCCACCTCCCTCTGTATTCTCTCTTTCTCTCTCCTTTCATTCGCCTGCCACCTCCCTCTGTATTCTCTCTTTCTCTCTCCTTTCATTCGCCTGCCACCTCCCTCTGTATTCTCTCTTTCTCTCTCCTTTCATTCGCCTGCCACCTCCCTCTGTATTCTCTTTCTCTCTCCTTTTTCCCTGCCACCCCTCTGTATTCTCTTTCTCTCCCTTTCTGTACCTTCTCTCTTTCTCTCTCCTTTCCTTCGCCTGCCACCTCCCTCTGTATTCTCTCTTTCTCTCTCCTTTCCTTCGCCTGCCACCTCCCTCTGTATTCTCTCTTTCTCTCTCCTTTCATTCGCTTGCCACCTCCCTCTGTATTCTCTTTCTCTCTCCTTTCATTCGCCTGCCACCTCCCTCTGTATTCTCTTTCTCTCTCCTTTCATTCGCCTGCCCACCTCCCTCTGTATTCTCTCTTTCTCTCTCCTTTCCTTCGCCTGCCACCTCCCTCTGTATTCTCTTTCTCTCTCCTTTCATTCGCCTGCCACCTCCCTCTGTATTCTCTCTTTCTCTCTCCTTTCATTCGCCTGCCACCTCCCTCTGTATTCTCTCTTTCTCTCTCCTTTCATTCGCCTGCCACCTCCCTCTGTATTTCTCTTTCTCTCTCCTTTCATTCTCTCCTCTGTATTCTCTCTTTCTCTCCCTTTCATTTGCCTACCTTCTGTATTCTCTTTCTCTCTCCTTTCATTTGCCTGCCACCTCCCTCTGTATTCTCTCTTTCTCTCTCCTTTCATTTGCCTGCCACCTCCCTCTGTATTCTCTCTTTCTCTCTCCTTTCCTTCGCCTGCCACCTCCCTCTGCATTCTCTCTTTCTCTCTCCTTTCATTCGCCTGCCACCTCCCTCTGCATTCTCTTTCTCTCTCCTTTCATTCGCCTGCCACCTCCCTCTGTATTCTCTTTCTCTCTCCTTTCATTCGCCTGCCACCTCCCTCTGTATTCTCTCTTTCTCTCTCCTTTCATTCGCCTGCCACCTCCCTCTGTATTCTCTTTCTCTCTCCTTTCATTCACCTGCCACCTACCTCTGTATTTTCTCTCTCTCTCTCCTTTTGTTTGCCTGCCACCTACCTCTGTATTTTCTCTCTCTCTCTCCTTTTGTTTGCCTGCCTGCCTTCCACCCCTGTATTCTCTCTTTCTCTCTCCTTTCATTCGCCTGCCACCTCCCTCTGTATTCTCTCTTTCTCTCTCCTTTCATTCGCCTGCCACCTCCCTCTGTATTCTCTCTTTCTCTCTCCTTTCATTTGCCTGCCACCTCCCTCTGTATTCTCTTTCTCTCTCCTTTCATTCGCCTGCCACCTCCCTCTGTATTCTCTCTTTCTCTCTCCTTTCCTTCGCCTGCCACCTCCCTCTGCATTCTCTCTTTCTCTCTCCTTTCATTCGCCTGCCACCTCCCTCTGCATTCTCTTTCTCTCTCCTTTCATTCGCCTGCCACCTCCCTCTGTATTCTCTTTCTCTCTCCTTTCATTCGCCTGCCACCTCCCTCTGTATTCTCTCTTTCTCTCTCCTTTCATTCGCCTGCCCACCTCCCTCTGTATTTCTCTTTCTCTCTCCTTTCATTTCACCTGCCACCTACCTCTGTATTTTCTCTCTCTCTCCTTTTGTTTGCCTGCCTGCCTTCCACCCCTGTATTCTCTCTTTCTCTCTCCTTTCATTTCGCCTGCCACCTCCCTCTGTATTCTCTCTTTCTCTCTCCTTTCATTCGCCTGCCACCTCCCTCTGTATTCTCTCTTTCTCTCTCCTTTCATTCGCCCACCACCCCTCTGTATTCTCTCTTTCTCTCTCCTTTCATTCACCTGCCACCTCCCTCTGTATTCTCTTTCTCTCTCCTTTCATTCGCCTCCCACCTCCCTCTGCATTCTCTCTTTCTCTCTTCTTTCATTCGCCTGCCACCTCCCTCTGCATTCTCTTTCTCTCTCCTTTCATTCGCCTGCCACCTCCCTCTGTATTCTCTTTCTCTCTCCTTTCATTCGCCTGCCACCTCCCTCTGTATTCTCTCTTTCTCTCTCCTTTCATTCGCCTGCCACCTACCTCTGTATTTTCTCTCTGTCTATCTCTTTGTTTGCCTGCCTGCCTTCCACCACTGTATTCTCTCTCTCTCTCTCTCTTTGTTTGCCTGCCTGCCTTCCACCACTGTATTCTCTCTCTCTCTCTCTCTCTTTGTTTGCCTGCCTGCCTTCCACCACTGTATTCTCTCTTTTTATCCTCTCCCTACAACTCTTCTTCCATTAACTCCTACCACTAGTAGAAACAGTGTCCTCAACATCTGTTAAAAAAAAAATTACATTTGTAACAACAATAAACACAGAAAAAAACCAATTACCTTTGACAATGTTTGTTGCAAAATAATATGTCTGTCAGGGGAAAAAGAATGGAGCAGGTAAATGGACAAGAGCCGAAGGAAATAAACCTGAAACAAAATGTCCATCATGTTGTCAATGGCTATGCATGCAAACCATCATGTTGTCCAAGTATGTCTTATTAGCATATCTATTCAGTGATTCCCCACTTCGTACTTGAGCTCACGGCTGTGGACTCCTTCTAACAATCAATGGTTTTATTTCTGTTGCCGTAGTTCACTGTTCTTTAGGGAGAAAAAAATATTAATTTATAGCTAATAAGATCCGTGAGCATATGTGACCTTGTTTCAGCAGGGGATTATTTACAAAAAAATTGTATTTACAGTATTTAATGTTGTTGTCTGGCGAAAGAAGACAATGTATGATTATCGCCATGAGAAAAAACCCAAGATATGAGCTACGAATTGGAGTTGTTAATATGAAACGATAGATGGATTTTAACAAACAATGAAAAATATGATAGCGAAATCCAAAGGTGCATTGGAATAATGAAAAATACCTTCTAAAAGCTAAGCAAAGTATTAAGAAATAGGAAAATTTCATTAGAAACAAAGAAGTGCTGAACTACTATGTAATATCAATCCCTCCTATATGGCAGTGAATGCTGGACATTGTCTTCACAGATGAAGAAGAGACTTGAGGCAACAGAAACAATGGAAAGAGTAGTGTAATATGAATCCTCCTGTATGGCAGAAAATGCTGGATAATTTGTTCACAGATTAAGAAGATTGGAAGCAACAGATGTGGTTCTACAGAAGGATGCTGAGAATACCATGAATAGAATGTGTAAGTAAAGCAGTTTTACAGAAAATGGAAGCAAAATGGTCACTTATAATTAGAAAAAGACTGTTGAAATTTCTGAACATGTATTGAAGAAAAGAGGATTAGAAAACTTGACACTCCCAGGACACATAGGATTCAAAAGGGATACAAGTAAACAGTGAGTAACCTACCTAATGAGCATGTGTAAATGGATGGCAGAACAGGGATGGGGAGTGGTAAAAAATACAGACCTTGCAAAGAGCTACAATGAGGAAATTGTGGAGAGTCATGATCACCTGAGGGAGCAAAACACATAAATGAAGAAATGCTTGAAACTTGGACACTTGACTGCAGAAGTTGTTCAAAGAGTAAAGCACAGGTAACATTTTTGGTACAAGGATATGCTGGTAGTATCGTGTTGATCAGCTCAAAAAGTGGAATTTGTGAACAGTTCAAATTCCAGGTTTGTCTGTGATATTCACTTTTGCACAGATGTCCTTTCATGGGAACTTGGCAATCTTTTCTTTGTTTTTAATGAAATTTACCTGTTTCTTAGTACTTTGTTTATTTTTTATTTTTTTTTTTGAGAGGTATCTTCTGCTTTTTAAATGCAGCTTTGTATTTCTGGATGGAATGAGACTTGGTGAAAGAACTGCGCAGATTTGAGACAAAATGACCCCTTGGCAAAAGAACTGGACAGGTTTGGGATGAAAAGAAGCCTTGGTGAAAAAACTGGGCAGGTTTCGGGACGAAAAGAAGCCCTGGCGAAAGAATGTGGCAGGTTCAGGATGAAAAGGAGCCTTGGTGAAAAGAATGTGGCAGGTTAGGGACGAAAAGGAGCCCTGGCGAAAAGAATGTGGCAGGTTAGGGATGAAAAGGAGCCCTGGCGAAAGAATGTGGCAGGTTCGGGATGAAAAGGAGCCCCGGCGAAAGAACTGAGCAGGTTCAGGATGAAAAGAAGCCTCTGTGATAGAACTTGGCATGTTCGGGATGGAAAGAAGCGCCGGCGAAAGAACTGGACAGGTTCAGAATGAAAAGAAGCCCCGGTGAAAGAACTGGACAGGTTCGGAATGAAAAGAAGCCCGTGAAAGAACTGGACATGTTCAGAATGAAAAGAAGCCCGGTGAAAGAACTGGACATGTTCAGAATGAAAAGAAGCCCCGGTGAAAGAACTGGACATGTTCAGAATGAAAAGAAGCCCCGGTGAAAGAACTGGACATGTTCAGAATGAAAAGAAGCCCCGGTGAAAGAACTGGACATGTTCAGAATGAAAAGAAGCCCCGGTGAAAGAACTGGACATGTTCAGGACGAAAAGAAGCCCTGGCGAAAAAACTGGACAGGTTTTGGACGAAAAGAAGCCCTGGTGAAAAAACTTGGAACAATGAGCCTGGGTGCAAGAAAGATGTGAATTCTGGACAAAAAGAGCTCTTGATGAAAGAATGGAATGAATTCTGGACAAAAAGAGCTCTTGATGAAAGAATGGAATGAATTCTGGACAAAAAGAGCTCTTGATGAAAGAATGGAATGAATTCTGGACAAAAAGAGCTCTTGATGAAAGAATGGAATGAATTCTGGACAAAAAGAGCTCTTGATGAAAGAATGGAATGAATTCTGGACAAAAAGAGCTCTTGATGAAAGAATGGAATGAATTCTGGACAAAAAGAGCTCTTGATGAAAGAATGGAATGAATTCTGGACAAAAAGAGCTCTTGATGAAATAATGGAATGAATTCTGGACAAAAAGATCTTTCGATGAAAGAATGGAGTAGATTCTTCATGAAAAGAGCCCTTGGCAAAAGAATTTGGTCTTCTATAACCAATCTGATACTGCTTAAATGATCTGTTCCCGACTTTTAAAGGTTTTGCAACTTCAAAAGTGTTCAAGTAAGATGAATAAATGAAAATTTGAAGCTTTTGAACCCAATGACTAGTAGGGATGCTCAAATAAAAAGATTTGATCATTTGTCAAATAAACTTGGGAGAAAATAAAACCTCTTAATTTGGATTATCTTTCTCGGTATTATTTTATTTACTAGATTGAACATTTTCAAGCCCCTGGTGAGGTTCAAACTCACTACAGAAAATATTAAAGTAGATAAGGATAAGTAGAAGCTAAATATCAGTATTTGAATCATTTACATTATTTATATTCAGACTAATCTCCTCATGTTCATGATGCTCTCAGGCCTTCTTCAGGTGTCTGTTGACCTGGTTAATCTTCAGGAAATTTTGAACATACTCCTTTATTTAATAGATTATTCTCATTTCATTGATCATGCTTAAGGATGTCTCATTTTGTACAGCTCACTTATTGCTGTCTATATTTCTGAGATGAGGTATTATGTACATTATTTACATTATTCGGACTATTGTCCCCATCTTTGTTGTCATATTTATCCAATCCTTCAGTATCTGTCTATATTTCTGAGATGAGGTATTATGTACATTATTTACATTATTCGGACTATTGTCCCCATCTTTGTCGTCATATTTATCACAACGTTTCGGCCGCTGTACACTCAGGCCTTCTTCAGGTGGTTGGAATGTCGAACTGAACCCTTTATTTCGCTCACCGGGTCTTGTCACTGGATCTAACCAACGCCTTTATCCACTGTGCAAGGGTTTACTGAGTTTTTATTTAATAACGGTCTTTTGGGAACATTACAGACAATGGAAAGATTCCTCTCATCTTCCGTTATTGGACAGCATCCATCGGTAAAAATGCTAAAGTATTTTTTTTCTGTATCTGTCTATATTTCTGAGATGAGGTATTATGTACACTATTTACATTGCTCGGACTTTCATTATCATTGTTGCCATATTTATCCCGACGTTTTGGCTGTTGTACGCTCCAAACTTCTTCAGGTGGTACAAATGTCGAACTGAACCCTTTATTTCGCACACTGGGGTAAACAGTTCTAGTTCCACGTGCCATGTCTAAGGGATATCAGTTAACTGATAACTGATGTGGAACTAGAACAGTCTATCCCAGCGAGCGAAATAAAGGGTTCAGTCCAACATTCCAACCACCTGAAGAAGGCCGGAGTGTACAACAGCCGAAATGTTGTGATAAATATGACGACAAAAATGGGGACAATAGTCTGAATCATGTAAATAATGTCACTTATTGCTGTTTGTACTCCGTCTAAGTTTATACAATTCGGCCCAAAGATTGAACTCTAAATTACTTTGTCACCAAATTTGTGAATCAATGTTTTAGTCCTGTCAGTTGTTGTCCTGTGGGACAATCTTGACCCTAGATCCTGGAGCTTTAAACCTAATGTTCTTTTTGCCTGCCTGCTGCTAATATAGTTGCTGTCACACTTTATTACATTTACCACTACTTTCTATTTCTTTAATACTGCTGAGACCTTTCCATAAATTCCTTAAATAGGTTCCCCATATAATATTTATTTCTATACCTAAGTTGTAGAGCACAATGGTAAAAATTTTCTAATAACAACAAATGTGGGCAATAGGTCACTTCCCCAATACTGTAACATAGTTTCCCCATGCGTTTTCTATAAATACTTTCAAGGTAATTATTTCTCTTTGGTACCTCAACTTTACAAATTTAAGCACAGTACTAGATTGGCAGTTAGGTTTCATCATCTTACTGTTACATCTAGCAATTTTGACTTCTATAAGTTTCTACTCTGGCACTTCTCACTTGTGGAACTCTTTTAGCTTCTTGCTTTTTAGTCAAGTTTGATCTTCAAAAATTTAAATGCAATGTCAATGATTATCTTCTGTCTTAATTCCTGTTCTTTCAATCTGGCATCAAGTCTTGTAATTGGGAGATTGGAGGTTTTGAAGAATATGGAATCACCCCTTAATTCCCTGTTGTTTCCAGGTCCACTCTGACTCTGGATGGTAGCACTTGGTAGAGTCCCAACTATGGGCCAATAATGACCCACCCCAAACAAAAACAAAACACAATGAAAGTATGAAAATATATTTATAGTAAATTGACTAGCAGTACATTTCTAGCTAAATGACCAACAAACAATGCATTTTATCTCTAGTTAAAGGTATGGAATTGTGTTCGAAATATTTAGATTTCGGCATTAAATAACCCATAGAGGTTCATATGCCACTAAACAAGATCAACCAACAATACATTTTATCTGTTGTTGTTGGCATACAATTGCGTTCCAAATAGATTTAGTTGAAGCCATAAAATTGTGTTCAAAATATTTAGATTTTGACATTAAATAACCCATAGATGTGTCGATATGCCACTAAACAAAATAAACCAAACCAACCTGTTCTTTCCTTAATAATATTTTTCTTTTTCTGATATTCTTTCACACTCATGAGCTCCTTGCATCTTAGTGACTTTATTGCCTTGCATGGGGTGAAATATTTAAAAAAAAAAAAAAAAAAAAAAAAAATAGTAGTTTGAATATGGATAATAGAAATTTGATTTTCTTACAAATTCATCCAGTTTTTGAAGTGATAAAATAATGAATATTTTTCTTTTTTTGCTTCTAGGTGAGTACTCTTTCTTCATGTTTCCTGTTCAAATGTTGAAAGCAAAATGGCAAATTGTGGTAAGAATGTTCTTTATTTTTATCTGATGAGAAAAAACAAATGACTATTACCTATAATTGTTTGAGACTGAGGAGGGATGTGCTCCATCCAGCTGTCTTGCTTTAGACATACAACTGCTGGTATGGCTGCAGTGCAATTCTGAGTAAGGTGCTGAAAAGTTTGGGATTTACTGATTAAGCTCAGAATTTTCAGCACATTCATATTTCTACAAATCAGAAGTGCATTCTCAGCCTAAATCGTTTAGCAAAATCTGATCAGACATTGAATTTATTTTTTTATATGAAGCATAACTTGGTTGGGCTGAGAACTTAACCATCTCATTGTGTGTGTGTATGTATATATATATATATATATATATATATATATATATATATATATAGAGAGAGAGAGTTGAAGGTAATGTGTCTCCTGCCTCCTTCTTTTTTTTTTTTTTTTTTTGTTTTTGAGCTGAGAAGGTGGATAGGATGATGTGGAGCAGTTGAGTGGCTGTCACGATTACCAGACCTAACACCACCAGAGCTTTTCTTGTGTAAAAAGTATTTTACATTTTACTCTACTAACTGGATTATACTTAAGCCCATGTCAACTGAAAAGCATATAACAACAAAATTTTGTGGATTTATCACATTACAAAATTCAAACAAAATTCTCGCTTGATTGATTTGAACAAGAACTATAGCGTCATGGCATTGCATGCTCCAAAATAATATCACTGTCAATAAATAGCATATTTTTCAAAAAAAAAACATCTTTCAGTCTACATTACACATGTTTCGTCTTAGTGTTTTGCCTGTATATGGAAATATTGCACCTTGAAGATGACAATTTGAAATTGTTGAAAGTACTTGGCTTGTCAATTCCATATGATAACTCAAATATAAACATCGTATTATTCAAGCCATTGATAGTAATTTAATGTCTCATTAAGTCTTGTTAGCAAAGTGATTTAAACATTAATCACATTAATATTGCTAATTAATTCTTTCTATAAATTACTTCTTGGGTGAACCTGTAGTATGGTTTTCAGGCTCTTTGCAAAGGAGCCACATGCTGGAATTGAGGCTGATAACAAGAAGTTACCTTCCTGACAAATTGACTATGGTGAGATTTGAACCTGAGTTTCATGGTCAGAAAGTGAATACTCTAACCACTTGGCCACATGCCCACACACACACACACACATACATACATACATACATTGCTAATACCCTTGTAAGTTCTTTCGCAGAGACTTCTTTTCGTCCTGAACCTGCCAAGTTTTTCATCAAGGCTTCTTTTCATCCCGAACCTGCCCAGTTCTTTTACCAAGGGTTATTTTCTGTCTCAAATCTGCCCGGTTGAGGATGGGTTATACTGCTTGTGTGTGTATATATATATATATATATATATATATATAATTTAAATTATTTAATAGTAAATCAGCACCTGAAGATTGTGTTGTTATTTTTAGGAGATACTCTTATTTGAGTAGGTGCTCCCTTTATTTATTGAACAGTATATTTATTATGTATTATTTTTGTCAACCAAGGAAACGCAAAGTTTTCTTTAAAGTTTCTCACACATTCAGGCTGGTAGATGAAAATAAATAAATATATTTAATAAATAAATGGAGCACCTACTGAAATACGGGTCTCCATTAAAAATAACATTTAAAGTGATATAAAGTATTTCAATCAAATTTGTGAGGACAAGCAGGACCCTCAGTTACGGAAAATCTGCTCGGAACCATAAAATAAAAAATGCAATAAAACTCACATATTATTTAATTAGAAAAGATTGGGCACCTCGGCATGGCATAATGTTAACAAGCTTGTCTTGCTAGAACAATTACAACTGAGTAGTGAGTTCGATCCTCAATGGGTGCCCCATACCTTTTGGCCTTGTGCCACATCTAAGCTATGCTTAGAAAATCAATATTTTGAGCATCTCGAGGTGGTGTAATGGTTAGCAAGCTTGTCTCGCGAGAACAATTGAGACAGAGTAGTGAATTCGATCCTCACTGGGTGCCCCATAGTTTCGGCCTTGTACCACATCTGAGCTATGCTTGGAAAATCACGATATGGGTTCCTTGGCATGGTGTAATTCTTAGCAAGCTTGTCTCACTAGATCAGTTACGACTGAAAAGTGAGTTCAATCTTCGTTGGGTGCTCCATACTTTCAGCCTTGTGCCACATCTAAGCTATGCTTAGAAAATAACTTTGGGCATCCCGAGGTGGTGTAATGG